GAGGAATAATCCGAAGGTTTTCCTCTTTTGAATGTCCAAGTCCCTGAATTCAGGCAGCCTCAAGGTACCACTGGACAATTTTACCTCAAGGTTTTAATGCCTCCTGCACCCTATTCAGGTAGGTAGTGGCACAGGAGCTCAAATCTTGCTGGGTGAACAAGTTGTTAACAGTGAGTCCTACCTGTAGTAAATGGCTCCAAAATTAAATCACCCAGCACACAGTGGCTACAAAGTTTCTCAAGAAAAGGCTCAGATCCACAAACAACTGGTCAGGGCCCTGGGATTTGTCTTCTCTCAATGGCAACTAAGTCTCTGCCCCACAGAAGGAAGGCACAGCCTGTCTCAATACCTCCAACCCCACAGACAAGCAAGAAGCTTTGGGGGATGGCAGCACTTTGTAGAATTTGTATTCAAGTTTCTGACTCATAGTCAAGCCTTTATATGAGCACTTAAAAGGAAATGAGCTGGGGCCCCTAATTTGGACTAAGGCATATCAGCAGGCATTGAAGAATATTGAAGAAAAACTGACTTTCATTTCTAGCCCCTGGGTTGTCTGATTTACAAGAACACTGCTGTGGGGCTCATGCTACAGTGCAGAAGGTTCAGCTTCTGCCTGCAGTGCCGGCATCCCATATGGGAGCCGGTTCAAGTCCTGGCTGCTCCACTTCTGATACAGCTCCCTGCTAATATGCCTGGGAAAGCAGCAGAATGTGGCCCATGTACTTGGGCCCCTGCACCCACGTGGGAGACCGGTAAGAAGCTCCTGGCTCCTGGCTTTGACCTGGCCAAACCCTGACCATTGTGGCCATTTGGCGAGTGAATCAGCAAATGGAAGATCAATCTCTCTCTCTCTCCTTCTCTCAATGTATCTACGGCTTTCAAATAAATAAATAAATTGTCTAAGTTTTTTCCTGTGGAGTGCAACCTCCAAGAAGAATATAATTTCCAGTTAATACAGAGAGCCCTTAATATAAAAAAGGGAAGGAAGGAAGGAAGGGAGGCAGAGAGGCAGGAAGGCAGGAAGGAAGGAAAGAAAAGAATATTGCCACCTCCATGTATATGAGTGGCAGGGAAAGGGACTAGGAGCACCCTTGGACTTGCTGCAATTGCACCAGACAAGTATAGATGGCCAACTCATCTCTGTGCCAGGAACTGTTACCTGTGATATCCTCCACGAGGCTGAAAACTTACCCTAAGACAGCCCACTGCTTCTTATGCTCCCAGCCTTTCCTCTTGTTACTCGAGCCAAAGGGACACTGCAGATTGACTTCAGGAGAATGGGAAATATCAAGCCATCCTCTTAGATGATTCCAATGTCAGGTTTCAAGTCACCTTGGGCCAGAATCCTGCTATCCTGCTCCCAAGCCACTGCACCCAGTTCCTAGAACATGACTGCCAGCCGGCACTGCGGCTCACTAGGCTAATCCTCTGCCTTGCGGCGCCAGCACACCAGGGCTCTAGTCCCAGTTGGGGCGCCAGATTCTGTCCCGGTTGCCCCTCTTCCAGGCCAGCTCTCTGTTGTGGCCAGGGAGTGCAGTGGAGGATGGCCCAAGTACTTGGGCCCTGCACCCCATGGGAGACCAGGAGAAGTACCTGGCTCCTGCCATCGGATCAGCGCGATGTGCCGGCCGCAGCATGCCGGCTGTGGCGGCCATTGGAGGGTGAACCAATAGCAAAAGGAAGACCTTTCTCTCTGTCTCTCTCTCACTGTCCACTCTGCCTGTCAAAAAAAAAAAAAAAAAGAACATGACTGACTATAATCATAGACCTGGCCTGGGCCAGCCAATGTGATCTCATGGACAACCCTTGCCAGAGCCAGACCTGGAACTGCTGACAGAAGTGGTCCATGGAGCAAGGTCAACTTTGTGCCAGGCATGCAGTGGTAACTTCCTAGGAGACCCTTGGGGTCAGAGCCCTACTGCTGGGCAATCAGCACAAACAGCAGAAATCAGTGTCATCTGAGGAACACCTATAGCTACATTGGATTGACTGCAGCTGTACAGGCCCATGGGGCGATTTGGCGAGAAGGCCACTCATGGAGGAAACAAGAACGTTAAACACGCCCATGAAATCCCACAACTCTTAGAAGTTGTCGGTAAACCTCTCTGAGTGGGCAGGTCACCAGAAGGGAGAGTCCCCCACAATCCATGGGAATCAGCTGGCTGACCAAGCTATGAAGAGGGCAACTAGTGTTAGAGACTATCAGGCCATATTGGTGTCCCTTCTTCCTTAGATTGATCTATCAGTTATCAAGCACCTATTCAGAAGACAGAAAGAACTAAGGAATGGGGTTTTACTTCCTAGCAAAATTCCTCAGGTTGGAGACACAACACACAAGGAATTGTCCTGGTTCCAGAAACACTATGAGAAGCCGTGGGACAGCTCTTGGTAGTACCCAGTATGGGCCAGATGCCTCTCTGCAAAGAGTACAAAGGTGTAGCATTGGGCCCAATTTACAAACGCTATTCAACAGGTCATCCAAAGTCACATGACATATACCAAAAAAAAAAAAAAAATCAATGGAACCATGCCAGCCATTGATGAAGTTATAATGAGGTTACTACCCTCCTAAAGACAGGCAGGTTGATTTCACTCAAATGCCCTGAGCTGCAGGGAACTATCAATACTCACTAGTATCTGCAGACATACTCTCTGGGTGGAGAGGAGCCTAAACCACAAGAACAGAAAAGATCTTCCTGCAGTTCGAGCTACCTGGTACAATTCAAAGAGACAATGGAGCAGCATTTGTTTCTGCCACAACCCAACCCAATGTAACCCATGTATTAATGGCTCTCTGGATTAGCTAGAAATTACATTCTTCTTGGACGCCACAGTCCACAGGAAAAAACGTAGACAATGAATCACACTTAAAGAAGTCTTGTCCGGGCAAGTTAAGGAATGAATATAACTGGGGACAAGTGCTGCCAGTTGCCCTGCTGAGGCTCCAACTGAGCCTCTCTGAAATAGCGCACGGCAGTCCCTCATGTCCCTGATCCACTGGGAGAAGAATCCATTATGGCATTAAAAGAAACAGTCACCTCTAAGTATGTTAAGACTTCAGGCCCAATGCCAACTTCTACCATGAGTTTGCTTCCAACGTGTAGGCCCATCTGTTGACACAACAGGGCCTGCACCTGTTCTGCCCGAGACCTGGTCCTCCTCAAGACCTGGAAGATCCTTGCTGGGACTCACTGACTTATCACCTCTTACCACAACCATCTTTCCCTTTTCCAGCCACTTGTACTTCAAAATAGTCTGTTACAAGGCATGGACATGATGGTTTCTTTAAAAAACAGGAATTATTTATTTGAAAGGCAGAATTAGAGAGAGAGGGAGACCATCCATCGACTTGTTCATTCCCCAAAAGGCTACAATAGCCAGATCAGGGCCAGGCCGAAGCCAGGAGCCTAGAACTCGATCCAGGTCTCCCATGTGGGAGGCAGGGGCCCAAGTACTTGGGCTATTTTCCACTGCTTTCCCAGGCACATTAACAGGAAGGTAGAGCAGCCAGGACATGGAGCAACAGGTGCCCATATGGGATCCTAGCATTGCAGGTGGCAGCTTAATCTGCTATGCTACACCGCTGGTCCCAAGATGGTTTCTTTAGGACATTCATCCCCCATCTCTTGATTTTCCAGAACTTTAAATAAACTCACTTTGCTTTAACACCCCACCCTTGAGCTATTTGCTTTTTTGGTACAGGCAGACTCAAGAATTTCTTTGATCTTTCTAGAAAATCAGCTACACCCATATGATACACAGTGAGCTCTCTATAAATTATGCATCCACAAACTTAACCAACATGTGTGGCCAGCATTGTGGCACAGCTGGTTAAGCCACGGCCTGCAATGCTGGCATCCCATATGGGTGCTAGTTCGAGTCCTGGATGCTTCACTTCTGATCCAGCTCCCTGTTAATGCACCTGGGAAAGAAGCAGAAGATGGCCTAAACATGTGGGCCCTTGCAACCTATGTGGGAGAACAGGAGGGAGTTCTGGGCTCCTGGCTTTGACCTGGCCCATCCTCAGCTACCGCAGCCATTTGAGGAGTGAATCAGCAGTTGGAAGATCTCATTTTCACTCTGTCTCTCACTCTCTGTGTAATTCTGCCTTTCCAGTAAATAAATATTAAAAAAAAAAAAAATTAGGGGCCAGCATTGTGGTGTAGCAGGTAAAGCTGCTGCCTGCTGCACCACATGGGCATCCCATATGGGCATCAGTTCAGGTCCCAGCTGCTCCACTTCCGATCCAGCTCCCTGGTATGGCCTGGGAAAGCAGTAGAAGATGGCCCAGATCTTTGGGCCACTGAACCCACATTGGAGACCCAGAAGAAGCTCCAGGCTCCTGGCTTCAGATTGGCACAACTCCGGCCATCACAACCATCTGGGGAGTGAACCAGCAGATGGAAGACCTTTCTCTCTCTCTGTCTCTGCCTTTACCTCTAACTCTGCCTTTCAAATAACTAAATAAATCTTTAAAAAAATTTTAACCAACATGGATCTAAAATATAGTCAAACCTAGGACGGCTGCTTCTATGCTAAACATGTACAGCCTCTTTCTTGTCATTATTCCTTAAACAACAGAGAAGCACAATGATTCCCATTGCACTTACATTGCATTAGATATTATAAGCAATCTAGAGATGATTTCAGATACACAGGAGGATGTGCATGGACCACATGCAATCACTTCACCATTTTACAGAAGGAACTTCAGCGTCCCCAGAGTTTGGTATCCGTGGGAAGGCCTGGAACCCATCCCTCACGGATGCCCAGGGAGAGCTGTGCTTCTGTATACTGACTGGTCCTCGGTTCCTTGAGGGCAAAGACCATGCCTCCCTAGAAGAAGAGAGGAATGGACTCCTCCATCGGATAAAAAAAAAAAAAAAAAAAAAAAAAAAAAAAAACACTGATTCCTAGAAAACAAGGACTTAACTGTTAAAAGGAGAATTCACAGTGAGACTGGCCCTGGGGCAACCCAAACACCTCCCAGGATTGCTCACCTCCTAGGCTCTCTGCTTCCTCCTGGGACTTCACGGCCAGAGCAGCTCAACAAGCTGATTTTCTGTGAGCCCTGAAGGCAGTTCAAGAAAGCAGAAAGCTTCACTCACCTGCACCTGGGCAGACAGCAACCTCCTGGCCATGTCCCCTCCCTGCCGCTCCTCTCGGAGAAGGCACCTGCAATGAGGAAGGCAGCTGTGAGGTTTCTCTTCCCGCCTGTGCGCCCACCCTCCAGAGGTCAGACCAGGTTGGAGCCAACCAGAAGCTGACCAGCAAGGGGGACCTGGTGCACTCTGGGCATTCCCAAGCGAGGAGTGGGAGAGTCCTGAGCACAGCCACCCAGTAGGCAAATGAAGCCAGGGGATTAAAACGCCTGCTCCACTGTGCATTAACAGAGTAAAGAGGACAATCCCATGGGGTCTCAGAAATGTTTAGTTCATGAAACAAGACATAAATATTCCACAAGTCTGCACTTGGATATTGCTCCAGGTGGAAAAACAGTACTGGAAGAATTGATGCCTTTTTTGGAAATAGTCAACCAGATAGGTCTTCTGTCTTCCTCCTGGAAGTTTCTCAATCAGATAGGATTAGCAACGTTGCTTAAGTATAAAAGGAAGCGTTAGCTAGCATCGCCGGCTAGGAACGAAATTAAAATTCAGAGAAAAGGGAAATAACAAAGCAAGTGGACAAAATTCCTCTAAACAAGAAAGAAAACAGTTCCCGCAGTCTGTCATTCACTCTAGGAAAACCTGCCAAACAAGCCAGACCCACAGAAATGAATAAACTTAAAATTTCAAGGAAGGGGGTGGGGGCTAAACCAGCAAACGCTAACAGCCGATAACCGCCCCGGAGCTCAGAAGCCCTGAAACCAAACACAGTTGTTGTTTTTGTTTTGTTTTTTGCAAACTCTCCCGGGTTCATCTGTCCAGAAGCCTGGCTGTAGGCAGGCTAAGGCCGGGTTCCGCGCCGGCCTCTGCAGGGGGCCCTTCCCCGGCAACGCCCCCTCCTGGGCCGAGTTCACCTGTCCAGGCCGCAGAGGCTCGCCGTGCAGGCCCTCTGCTCTGGCCCCGCCGCCGCAGCCGCACGCCCAGGGCCCGCCCTCGCCCTACCTGGGCCCGCCGCCACGGGGACGCGAAGCCCCGCGCCCCACGAGAGGCGAGCGAACACCTAGAGAAGGGACATTCTGGTCGCTGCCGCCGCCAAGGCACAGGGCGCAAGCGCGCCTGCGCGAGTCTTTTCGGACTCTGTTTCCCACATATCTCCGCGGCGCGCCGCTCTACGGTGTCCACGACGGGACAATAAATGCAAGGCTAACGCTCCCCGTCTGCCTGCAGTCCTAGCAGGCTGAAAGCCACCAAGTCGTTCAGCTGCAAGCACTTCCCATTCTACTGGACATCAATTTTTTTTCCCCGCAGTTCTGACACTAATGAGAGGGAAAAGTGAGTATTTAAAATGCGGAAGACTGGCTATTCACTTCTGAATATTCTTGGAGGCGAGGGTGGGGTGTCAGAAATTGGTGGGTTATAATCTATTTTACAGTGTTTTTGAATTTAAAAAATTACTTCTGGGGCCAGCGTTGTGGCCTAACGGCTTGCCACCTGCTGTCCCAGCTGCTTCACTTCCAATCTGGCTTCCTGCTAACGGCCTTGGAAAACAGCAGAAGATGGCCCAAGTGCTCGGGTCCCTGTTACCCACGTGGTCAACCTGGAAGAACCCCCTGGCTCCTGGCTTCTGCCTGGCCCAGCCCTGGCCCTTGTGCCACTTGGGGAGTGAACTACTAAGACTTCATATTTTGTTATATTCTTCAGTAAATTTTTTTTTCAATAAATTTTAAAACTTTTTTTAAAAGATTTGTTTTACTTGAAAGGAGAGAGAGAGATCTTCCATCTACTGGTTCATTCCCCAAATGGCCTCAACAGCCAGGGCTGGGCCAGGCCTAAACCAAGAGCCCAAAAGTCCATGTTGGTCCCCTACCTGGGTTGCAGGAGCCCAAGTACTTGGACCATCACCCCAGATACATTAGCAGGGAGCTGGATTGGAAGTGGAACAACCAGCACTCAAACCGGCATTCTGACATGGGATGCTGGTGTCACAGGTGAGTTAACCAGCTGCAACACAACAGCAGCCCCTCAGTAAGTTATTTTTATCAAAGAAATATATATATACAGTTTAGTCATACATATGCAAATGATAAAACAGTTGTGCCATCAAATAATGGGCCCCTGCACCACTCTTCCTCCAAAAGGAATGTCTCATGTAGAAAAAACCCCTTCCAGTTTTGCTGCTTCTGGAATTTACCTCCATTTTTCCAAATTAAAAACAAAAGCAATTTATGCTGCTATTTTTTCTATTTTCACATATTAACTGTTGACGGTGTTTTCTGTGTGTCTGTGTTTTACTTAGATGTTTGATACAATGCTGGGGAACCATAAATCAACCAGTGAAAAGAGTCGTAGTAACTGCTCAGAAGGTTGTTGTGAGGGCTAAATGCGCTGAAGCGCCACCAGAAGACAAAACGACAACAAATGTAGGGATGGGTGTAATTATCTTCCGTGTGTGTGTCATGAACCAGGACAGTGTCAATTCTACAAGGTAGAAGGAGAGCTTTCAAGGGACTGTGGAAGAAAAGGAGATGGAATAATAAAAAAAACAAATAACTTGTTAGCATTGTATAACTGCAGATCATTTTTTAAATCTCAGTTATGTAATTTTTTTAAAATTTTTAAAGATTTTATTTTTATTTATTTGACAGGTAGGATCACAGACAGTGAGAGGGAGAGACAGAGAGACGGGTCTTCCATCCTCTGGTTCACTCTTCAAATGGCAGCAATGGCCGGCACTGGGCCGATCTAAAGCCAGTAGCCAGGAGCTTCTTCCGGATCTCCCACATGGGTGCAGGGGCCCAAACACTTGGGCCATCTTCTACTGCTTTCCCAGGTCATAGCAGAGAGCTGGATTGGAAGTGGATCAGCCAGGACTTGAACCGGCACACATATGGGATGGATGCTGGCACTGCAGGCCATAGCAGAGAGCTGGATTGGAAGAAGAGCAGCCAGGACTAGAACCGGCGCCCATATGGGATGCCGGTGCTGAAGGCAGAGCATTAACCTCCTGCGGCCCCAGCTATTTATTTTTTTTCTTTTTTTTAACTTTTATTTAATGAATATAAATTTCCAAAGTACAGCTTATGGATTACAGTGGCTTCCCCCCCCCCAATAACTTCCCTCCCACACACGACCCTCCCCTTTCCTGCTCTCTCTCCCCTTCCATTCACAAAAACATTCATTTTCATTTATCTTATATACAGAGTATCAGTTTAGTATATATTAAGTAAAGATATCAACAGTTTGCACCCACATAGAAACACAAAGTGAAAAATACTGTTTGAGTACTAGTTACAGCATTAAATCACAATGTACAGCACACTAAGGACAGAGATCCTACATGAGGAATAAGTGCACAGTGACTCCTGTTGTTGACTTAACAATTTGACACTCTTGTTTATGGCATCAGTAATCTCCCTAGGCTCTTGTCATGAGCTGCCAAGGCTATGGAAGCCTTTTGAGTTCACCGACTCTTATCATATTTAGACAAGGTCATAGTCAAAGTGGAAGCTCTCTCCTCCCTTCAGAGAAAGGTACCTCCTTCTTTGATGACCTGTTCTTTCCACTGGGATCTCACTTGTGGAGATTTTTTTTTTTTTTTTTTGCCAGAGTGTTTTGGCTTTCCATGCCTGAAATACTCTCATGGGCTTTTCAGCCGGATCCACATGCCTTAAGGGCTGATTCTGAGGCCAGAGTGCTGTTTAGGACATCCATCATTCTATGAGTCTGCTGTGTATCCTGCTTCCTATGTTGGATCGTTCTCTCCCTTTTTTGTTCTATCGGTTAGTATTTTCAGACACTAGTCTTGATTATGTGATCCCTTTGATTCTTAGTCCTATCATTATGATCAATTGTGAACAGAAATTGATCACTTGGACTAGTGAGATGGCATTGGTACATGCCACCTTGATGGGATTGAATTGGAATCCCCTGGTACGTTTCTAACTCTACCGTTTGGGGAAAGTCAGCTTGAGCATGTCCCAGATTGCACATCTCTTCCCTCTCTTATTCCCACTCTTATATTTAACAGGGATCACTTTTCAGTTAAGTTTCAACACTTGAGAATAACTGTGTATTGATTACAGTATTCATCCAAAAGTATTAAGTAGAACAGACAAAAAATACTAAGAGGGATAACGTATTAAGTTGTTCATCAACAGTCAGGGCAAGGGCTGATCAAGTCACCGTTTCTCATAGTGTCCATTTCACTTCAACAGGTTTCCTTTCTGGTGCTCGGTTAGTTGTCACCGATCAGGGAGAACATATGATATTTGTCCCTTTTGGACTGGCTTATTTCACTCCCAGCTATTTATTTTTAATTAAACATATTTATGGGATGCAGTGTGACAATTTGTTACATGTATATAAATTGTAATGATCAAATCACAGTGATTGTCATTTCAATCTCCTAACACTTTTTTTTTAATCTTTTTTTTTTTTTTTTTTTTTTTTTTTGGACAGGCAGAGTGGACCGTGAGAGAGAGAGAGAAAGGTCTTCCTTTTCCATTGGTTCACCCTCCAATGGCACCACAGCCGGTGCACTGCGCTGATCCAAAGCCAGGAGCCAGGTGCTTCTCCTGGTCTCCCAGGCGGGTGCAGGGCCCAAGGACCTGCACCATCCTCCAACTGCAAGCCTTCTCAAGGACTAAGCATCAATCTTTTAGTGCCTGGCTGACTGGTTTTGGCCCTTATCACAACTACTCTAAAAGCCAAGCTGTGTACTTCCTCTGGCATCTTCTGTGACACCAGCCCCCTTCTTGGGTCCCTGCACCCACATAGAAGACCTGGATAGAGCTCCTGACTCCTGGTTTCAGTCTGGCCCAGCCCTTGCTGTTGCAGCCATCTGGGGAGTGAACCAGCAGATGGAAGACCTCTCTCTTTCTAGCTCTGCCTCTCTCCCTCTCTGGAACTCTGTCTTTCAAATAAATAAATAAACCTTTTTTAAAAATTTCATATAAATCCCTTTCGGATATAATTTGGAATTATATTGAATGTATAGATCACTTTGGAAATCTCTAGAATTTTACACTGTTCTCTTCAAGAACATTTTATATCACCCCATTTATTTATACTTCTCTATCTTTAAATTAAGTGTCTTGATAGTCTCCTTAAATATTTTGCATCTATTTGGCTATAAATTCCTAGTTATCCTACATATTTTTCAGCTATTATAATGCAAACTCTTTTTTTTTTTGAAGTGTTCAGCACTTCTTTTTTTAACTTTTATTTAATATAAATTTCCAAAGTACAGCTTATGGATTACAGTGGCTTTTCTCCACCATAACTTCCCTCCCACCCGCAACCCTCCCCTTTCCCGCTCCCTCTCCCCTTCCATTCACATCAAGATTCATTTTCAATTCTCTTTATATACAGAAGATCAGTTTAGTATATATTAAGTAAAGATATCAACAGTTTGCACCCACACAGAAACAGAAAGTGTAAAGTACTTTTTGAGTACTAGTTATAGCATTAATTCACATTGTACAACACATTAAGGACAGAGATCCTACATGAGGAGTAAGCACAGTGACTCCTGTTGTTGACTTAACAGATTGACACTCTTGTTTATGACGTCAGTAATCACCTTAGGCTCTTGTCATGAGTTGCGAAGGCTATGGAAGCTTTTTGAGTTCGCAGACTGTGATCTTATTTAGACAAGGTCATAGTCAAAGTGGAAGTTCTCTCCTCCCTTCAGAGAAAGATACCGCCTTCTTTGATGGCCAGTTCTTTCCATTGGGATCTCACTCACAGAGATCTCTCATTTAGGTTTGGTTTTGTTTTTTGTTTTGTTTTTTGTTTTTTGTTTTTTTGGTTTTTTTTTTTTTTTGGTTTTTGTTTGTTTGTTTGTTTTTGCCAGAGTGTCTTGGCTTTCCATGCCTAAAATACTCTCATGGGCTCTTCAGCCAGATCTGAATGCCTTAAGGGCTGATTCTGAGGCCAGAGTGCTATTTAGGACATTTGCCATTCTATGAGTCTGCTGTGTATCCCGCTTCCCATGTTGGATCGTTCTCTCCCTTTTTTTATTCTATCAGTATTAGCAGACACTAGTCTTGTTTATGTGATCCCTTTGACTCTTAGTCCTATCA